CCCCCCCCCCCCCCCCCCCCCGCCCCCCCCCCCCCTCCCCCCCCCCCCCCCCCCCCCCCCCCCCCCCCCCCCCCCCCCCCCCCCCTTGAAGTAGTGATCATCGAGGAAAATTGTTAATACCGTCTTACATCAAAGACTAAAGATGGGCCATTACAAAACTTCAAATATTGTTTTAAGATTGTTAAAAGATCAAACCCACCCCGCAGATGAAGATGCTTTGCAATGACCGGAAAAAAAAAAATAGAACCGCAATTATTCTAAGACACGTTTTCACGATTTCCTTAAGATGATATTTCGCCCACTCCAATGATGCACACAACAAGCAAAGACGCCTCCGGGATACAATGGAATCCAAACATGGTGTCTGCATCATGCACTAATGAAGACAACCTCGAACACTTGAGAGAGCAAAAAAATCAATATAGAGTCACATTCTATATTTTTGAAATACAAAACATGAACAAAGTTCGAAAAATATGGATGCTAGTATGCAATAAAATATAGCTTTAAGGAGGAAGATGAAAGATAATTATATTATTCCATGTATTTCGTCTATGAGATTAACAATTTTATTTATATATTGTTAAACGACTCTTCCCAAGAGTTATAATCCTTCCCAACTACCATAAAGTTAGTATCATAAGTAATCATGCATGAAAAAGGGTGAAAAACTCGTCCAAAACATGAAATGGTGCTTCTGGCACTGCAAAGGGCGGCCGCCCGACTAGCATTCAAATTCCCTGCACGCCACCCTCTGGTCTCCCTTATGCAGAGGGTGAACACTGGGTGGCTCCATCCTCCACCCCTTCGAGTCTTACAAGGTCATAAAAATATCTTTCAATGTCCAAACGACATTATTTGAAAATTCTCCGACATTCAATATACAATAATATTCTTAAAACAGTAAACCTAATTTTTCTCATGCATACACTTGAAAATCCGCCATCTGAAGTGTACTGTGGTTACAAGCTTTAATCATAAATACAAATATTGATCACTTCAATAACTTGGTGGACTTTGTACAAAAAAGTAGCACAAAAATGGCAATTCATCTCAAATTTCGAGTATAACCATAACAAGCTAAGTTTCACCCCCAATAATCTCAAGTAGCACATAGTACAACAGCAGCTATATTAGAAACTAGTGATTCAATTATATTTTACTGTGTATCTGAAGCTCCAGTTTCAATTGATCCCTTAACACTCTCCTCAATAGCTTATTTGTTGCTGTTCGAGGAAACACTGGGACGATCTTCACAAAGCTCACCTGATTAATTAACAAATCAGATAAAAGTAAAAATAAATAAATCCCTCTCCTTTCCAACCACTTATACTTTTGGATTAGGCGAGTTGACATGTTATGAGAGTCTACAAATGTCAGTATTTAAGTCTGGCCACTTTATGAGATTATAAGTCTGGCCGTTCATGACAAGCGAACTATAAATAGATAAATACCTTTCCCCTCTAACATCTTAAGTTTTGAGTAACTGTCTCTACACAATCTTTTTGTCTATTCAAGCATGTAGACAGTCACGAAAAGCAGAGAACAAAAAGGAAAATAAAAAAGTGGTGAATAATGTGGAATCAATTATTCAAACCTTGAACAAAGGGTTAAGCTTGGTCTGGATAGATCTTGAGAATTTCAACTTAAGCATATCTGACTCGATTTCAAATCCTGTCTTCAATACCACAAATATAGCCAACTGTTCTGGACCACCATTTGGGGGTGCAGTACTGACCGCAGTAGTTTCCAAGACACTTTCATCAGCCCCGTCACAAACACGTTCAATTTCAATTGAGCTCGTCTGTATGCAAAGAAGAAACTATTAATGTAATTTCCATCTCAACCTCAACCACACTCAACTATACAATCTCACAGGAGACAATAAGCACAAGGTAAAATACATATTACGCATTTATGGACTCACTTACGTTTACGAGTACAAATGCTACAAATTAAATCTTACTCCCAATAGCTTGTCGTCAATGACAATCACTTTCTAATGTGACAATAGGACCTCATGGTACTGGAATACTTCCGGATTATGTACCACACGTTTGGCCCCATTATTCCAAATTATAATGACAGGAATAGCAATTTTTTGGAGAATGTGTGGTTAAAAAAGAAGAAAAAGTTTTTTGGTTTATGTCTAATATAATTTATTGGAAAATGTGTGATTGATAAGAAGATAGAGAAAAATGAATTATAATTTAAGAGAAATAAAGATGGCCAAACGGGGGCGTAGACTAAATAGCCTTAGATTGGTTTTCTAAGGTGATGAGAGGTTGAAGAAGGAAAATAGGCTAATTACCTTAATGCCACCTAGATTCATGGTATCATCAGCTCTTCCCTGCACCATCAGAAATCCACCAATAGTTCTCTTTATTATGTCACCGTGTCTCCTAAGTTGCTGAAGAAAACAATCAAGTATAAGTAAAAGCAATGTGTTTCAGTGAAATTATCTCATGGATGAGAAGACAACTGACTATTAACACCAATTATATGTCTAAAATACTTCATACATTTCTTTTACCGTGCATGGTTATTACTGGACAACATCAACATAGTACAATAATAAACTGAAACTTGGGCGGTGAACAAACTGGCTGAACCCATTCATTATTTGCAGATTTTTGCAGCATGATTAAAGTAGAATTAAGTTCTCACGTTGCTGCAACGTAAAAAATGAAGATTGTATTGAGTTTATTCTCGTTTAACTTTTAACTCTTATTTCACCTAATGGAAGCTTAATGCCTAAATAACAAAAGAAAATACAGAAAATAAATTAAAACAAATAATAAAACTGAAGAAAGTTGTGTGCAACCAATTTTATCCATAAATAATCATCAAGAATGCATCACATGCTCACTTTTCCAAATATCCTCATCAGATTCAAAGATTATATCAGACAATAAAAAGAAACGAGACAAATCTCCAATTGGGTACAAGACTTAATTTTGTGTGCGTGCACTTTTCTGGAAATTTAGTAAAAAAACGCAAATTACGTATTTTTGTGAGCAACATGAATACTCACAGCAGTTACAAAGAGTGGAATGCCAACCACTGCAGAACTATGAATGTCAGCGAATGGGGAAATTTTTCTCAGCATAACCTTTTAACAGAACAAACCTTGAACACCCTAAAACCGGGCATACAGAGATACTTGAACTCTTACACACAAATGCACTCTAGACAAACATTAAACAATTAGAATTTGCATGATTAAAGCTTTTCCCAAGATGGCAGGACACAAAGAAGTGGTAAGATATGCACCACGAAGACAATTGGTTAAGGCAGCCATGAAGCTAGATACTGATTTAGTTCATAAAACACAGCAGCTAATGCAGAACTTATATCACAGACAAAGAATGACAAAAAATGGATTGTTGAACTAATGCCCCTATGCTCTGATTTTAAATCATTGGGCCATAGAAGTTGATTTGATAAGCATTTCTAGTAGATAACTAAAGCAAGGTTCATATAGATTGGCCAAACTGCGCACCATTCCTTTGTATATTGGCATTCCCTTGAAGTAAACCTCATCATGATCAGCATTCAGCAGTCTATCAGTTGCTCCCATGTAACGAGGAAATAAGCCCACTTCACCAATACAAGCTTGATCATCTGGCTGTCATACAACTCAAAAATAAATAATTAAAGTCAGGAAGCTGAACAAGAACATGTGAAATGCTTTCACGAGAGAATAAATATTTTCATAGCAATACGGCCCAGTACTGATCAGTTATCCCTTTTACAACCAAACATGAAGCTATTCCCAGAGAGCCTGACGGAACCCAAGCACAACCAATTACTGGTTTTACAACCAAACATGGAGCTAGCATATAGCTGTAATTCGTCCTAAGTTGTATAAACAATTGGTAAGCCGACTATGTAATAAAGTGACAACAGCATTTCTTCATAAAACGATAACAGACAATTCTTTAGGTAAATAAATGCCATCTGTTGTAGTTAACAAGAAGCTAAATTCAAGAAAGAGATGCCAGTAAATAATTCTTACATAAGGTAGGCCACTTTCATTGAGGATCACAAAACCTGTGGACAATGAGGCAGAGCTAAATGCCCCAAAGGCTTGTGGTTGCATAAGGTTTCCTTGAATGTAGGCCGATGAAAGCTCTGTGCCTCCACAACATTCAACAATTGGCTTATAGTAAGCCCTTGAAGAGAGCCAGAGATCATCATCAATGTTGGAGGCTTCTCCTCCAGAACAAAATGACCTGTGGAGGCTTATTGTTAATTACTAGCGGAAAAACCAAAGAAACCACAAGGCAGAAGTGTTGATGCTTCAAATTGAATGTTACTTTATTTTTGTCCAATCTAGGCCTTCCATACAATTTGTTATCTTCCAGGTCTTCACTAAGCTAGGGACGGTCCCCAACATGGTCACTCCTGCATCCTGGAAGAATGTAAATTTAAGAATAATATAGTTATATTAGAAAATATTAATGCGTGAATTATGGAGTGGACTATGTTTTAAGTCCAGAATTTTAACAAGGAATTTATGAAAACAAGAACTTTTTTTTTATTGTTATTTGGTTGTGTTATTAATCTTTTCTGCTCTCTATGTTAATGAATAGCAAATTCCAGCTGTCACTCAGGATGAACCATTTACATACACGTCCTGAACTTCAACAGCAGAAAAGTTGTGGTTTCATTCTCGCTGGACGTGTTTTATTGGGAAGTTACCTGGATAAATCTCCCAAAACCACGACCTAGAGGAGATCCATGATAGAGAGCCAGAGTCGCACCAGTTAAAAAGCATGAATAAAGTAAAATTGGTCCCACAACCCAGCCTAAATTTGTTGGCCAACAAAAAATGTCTCCAGCTTGAAGATCAGTATGTGTCCATGAATCAGAAGCACATCGGATTGGAGAAAGATGAGTCCATGGAATAGCTTTTGGATCTCCTGGTCATGGGTGCAGAAGGCATTCAGTGGATAATATAAATTCTCATGGACAAAGTAACATAACGTATTTGGTTTAAATTAAACCTCATACCTGAGGTTCCAGATGAAAATAATATATTAGTGACAGAGTCTATGGGTTGATAAACTGGAAAATAATAATTTGATCTGCCAAAAGAGATTGTATGTCAAAACTGACATTTATTTTAATGAGATAAACAATCAAATACTGTTCGACTGTTGAACTACGTTTAGTTGAAATCGAAATTCATCCCTGTTCCGATTTCAGATCAAAATCTTCACATTACCCAGGTAGGTGATCGACACTTGAAAGAAAAGCTTTCCACGATAAGTCCTGGTTTCTTAAATGAACATCGATATCATTTCCAGTTGCTGGAACCACTACAACTTTATATGGAGCAGCTTGTACTACTCGACTGCAAGGAAAAAGAATTAACTTTTGACATTAACTGTACATATACTAGGATATCTGAATTCTGAAAGGTATATTCATGTGTTCGAAATGTATATTCATGTTTCATGAAGGAAGAGTGTTCTGTCATGTTAGCCAGAGCATCATTTCCCCAGTCTTCATAATCCCTAAAAATAAGAGGCGTGCTGCTTTCTTTTCCATTGATAGTGTATATATACCAGTCAAAGAGCCTTTTAAAGCAAGATCCACAATTAGGCTTAATTCGAGTAAGTGAGAATAATATCAGAATATAACCAATTATCATGAATGATTTAAATCTTCTTTCATACTATGTGTCTGCAACATGGTATATATACACTATCAATGGAAAAGAAAGCAACATGCCTCTTATTTTTATAATGAAACCATTGTTGAGAAAGAGGCTCGGTAAAAGCATACACCAACTGATTATTAGCAGCAGCATCAGTAAAACAGAGCTTGCCGTTACTATCTCGATAAAAAGGTATTTTCTTCTCTTTATTTCATTTTAACAGGAAACAGGCATTTGATTTAACTGAATTGGATTTTGTTGGCTGGAAGCTACAGTGATGCGTACCCATGTTGGCTTTGGCCTATACATACATTTGATTTTTTGAATATTTGGGGGCTCCTTGGGCTCAAATTCAGAAGTCAAACTGAATGCTGATGAACTATCCATACAACTTGTGGGGTCACCTAAAATATTAGCTCAAAGTTGTCGATTAGCCAATTATAACAAACCATTTCTCCAATAGGCTATTCTATATGAGAAACCTAAACAGGAAAAGGAAAATCTTTAATGTGTACCAATAAAATATTTGAGATCAGAATTATACATTCAAAGGGTAACTCTTACCTGTATAAAGGAAACCTTTGTCCTCCTCGTACTATAAAATCCTGAAGTTTCATGAAGTTAGAATGGGTTTCAAAATAGAAGATCTATAAGCTATAACTTTACAGACCTAAAGGGCTAAAGGCCCTGTTACAAAATGTAAGAATGGAACAAACAGGGGGTTAGAAGCAGCAGGGGGCAAAGTCCACTGCGGAAAATTTTCTCCTCTGAATTATGTAGTTGGAGATATAGATTTATCAAAAGTTTGCCCTCATATCACTGGTTGATAACAGTTAAATATCCAATTTGAAAAGCTTATATGGTGTTTATCATCCCAAGTGTAGAAGGCAGAAAATGCAGTAGTATAACTTCTCTTGCGTCAACCCACTGCATCTTGATGTCTAAAGCAAGAATGTACAGGAAGTTAGGGATGGAGGGAGCAAGAGATAAGAAGGCAAAATGCAAAGACAATTTTCAATTTAGTGACTACCGTCAAATTTCCAAGAAAAACGTAGTAATGAATCGAGTTATAAAGTATAAATGCAACGAATCAATTTCTTGATTATGGCTATCAAAAACATTTACTCTGTTGTAATAACTTGAGGATATCTTGATGTCTGTAATGAATATAAGGTATAATTTTTTATTTTTTTTCCTTTTGAATTTAATTTTTTTTAACCTGTACCATGATAAGAAGTTTATTTATTTATTTATTTTTTCCTGATATCACCATAATAAGAAGTTATTGAGCTGAAATCTTGTCAGATAATAAAAACAATGGGGGAACAATATAGGTGCATATTTCCCAATGGCTCGAACAGAATCTGATGAAGTTAGAAGAATAGCAACCAATACCCGAACTGAACTATACTAAAAAACTAGCAGTCTAGCAGTAGATTCCAAGTTTTGAGTTGAAACTCTCCTTGAGACAATGCTTGCTCCCATTACCGGTAATGCACAGGGAAAAGCAAAACGCCTCTAGGATACAATAAAATCGATATTGTTGGTTGTGTCTTGCATTAACGAAAATAACTCCAAACACAAAGGAGAGCAGAAGCTACCATTCGAGAGGCTAGTATTTTGTATTTATATTAACAAAATACGAACAAATGGAGGAGAAATAATCTCTCATTTCCCAAATGATCCATCCATCTATATATAGATTGTTGTTACAACCCTTCCCAGGTTATATTTATGAAAATGCAAGGACTTTTAATGCAACAAGAAAAAACAAACGAAGGAGAAATAATCTCTCTCATTTTCCAAAAGATTATCAATCTATTTGTAGGTTGTTGTTACAACACTTCCCAAAACGTTACATCTCTTCATTTGAGTCACAACCATAATTTTTTGAATTAAGTAACTGATATGGAGTGAAAAGGAATCAGAAACTCAAACAGGTGCAAAAGTACATTTTCACAGCTGAAATGGTTGTTGCTGCAGCCAAGCTTGCGGCTGCCGGCTGCTGCCGTTCTGCATCTTGTGGCCTTGGCTGGTCGACCACTTCTGACCTCCGGTCCTACAGCTCATCCTTTTAAAACCTTTGTTCTAAATATGAACCATGACTCAAAATAACCTTCGAAATACCGCACAATGTCTAAACGACATTTTAGCAAATCTCTCCAATAAACAATGCCCAAGTGAGAAAGAGATAAATAAAATGACACTAACACATCACATGGAAAAGTCGGAACATTTAAAGAGATTCAATTCTTCTCGAGTTTTTCAGCAAAGTGAATCCTTTTTTCCATTTAATAAGCTCTAAACAACAGAATAATCAAAAGAAGTTTTTCTTTTCTCTTTGCACTAACATTAATTTTGAGGAAATAGACGAGAACAAAAAATAAAGAGCATAAAGAATTTCATCATGCAGGAATATATCCCTTTTATAAACTTCAAGGGCACTTCGTCAAATCCAGCATATTATTACCAGAATGATTTGTCAAGTACCTGTGTAAAAATTGCTTTTGCCTTGGAGACACACAAACGGGTTGCAATTTCATTTGCTGCAAAGCTGTCAGCAATTGACACAACAATAAATCCTGCAAGTACGATTGCCAAGTATATAATCACTGCAGTGGCTGTCATTGGCATGTCAATGGCAATAGCATCTCCCTTGGAGAATGTCACATCGAGAGCATTTGCTACCAACCTAAAGAAAGTCATATATGTTCAACATAGCTATAGACATGAGAAGAATGAGAGAAATTACAGACACCAAAGCATATGTATTGCGTTATAAAACATTGCTCAAAGGGAAAAATTGCAGCAAAGATGTGAATTTGACATCATTGTATCTAACTCTTTACGTTCACAGACATCAACAGGCAAGAACCAATGCCAGCTAGGCTTAGATGAAAATGATTGGATAGACCAGTCTGGACTCTCATTCTACACTGATTTGCTGCACTTCTCTCGTATTTGAGAAAATTTGATCTGGTATAGCCTGACTTGTTGAACCATTAAGTTGGAAAGTAGGAAAAGAAAGGCAAAGATTGGGGCTTCCTGTGGGGGGGATGGTGATAGGTAAACAGATTAAAAGCACATTTACCATCTTCATCTATCATTTTCACTAAGAAATACATTTTAACTATGAGTTTCAATTAGTCATTAATGACCCCAGTCTGGTTTCATTATAAACTGCCTTAATTTCATGAAACTATAATAAGAGAATCAATAATTATGTTATGGCTAATAAATAGGAGTAAATCATGAAAACAAGCAGACGACCGGAACCTTACATTACTTTTTCCCGAAGCTGCTTTAATGTCATATGATCCACATTTTGATCATCAAATCCTTCACTACGCCATACAATTGCTAAGCTATCATCCTCCTTCTTCAAATATTTATTTGATTGCAGACAACAATCAGCAATATTCAAAGCTGAACCAGGAAGCCATGTTCCCCCAGGTTTGGATTTGTTCGAGGTATCCAGAATACATTTTGGTGCCACAGCAAAGTTAAGTGAAAGCTCATTCAGAATAATGGACCAGTATATCTGAAAAGTATGAAAAACTGTCGTTTAAAATGAAAACACAAAAAGATACTTTAGAAGTAGGATTGCAGTTGGTGAACAAGGGCTTGCCTCAGGATGCTGGACAGAGAACTTATGAAATTGTCTGAAAGTTGTCATTGGATCCTTGTACAATGCCCCTAAAAGCCTTGGACCATGGGATTCCATGATGCGCCCCAAGTTTGTGCATCTAGATTGATATCTTACAACCAAAGTGAAAGGTAATCAAATTTTGAAAAGTATATGTAGAGTACCACAACATTATGATCCTCACAAACCATCAAACAAAGTCAGGCACCACAGGAGACAACATCATGCCAAAGTTAAGAATAGAGGATAATATGGACCTGTAATATTTATAATACCTTTCAGCAAATTAAGTTACTCTAGCATCTATCATATTTTTCTGACACTCGTGAGAGCCTTATCCCAAACTCACATTCTGTTAAGTTGAATCCAACAATATTTTCGATTTAATCATTTGAAACTAAATTATTTTCTTTGTAAGTAGATTAAAACATAATGAATCCATGTGCATTAACGTATTTCTTATAACTATTTTTGTTGTTAGAAGTGTCATCTCAGAACTTTCTCACAGTCCTTTTTCTGATATCCCGGACAGTCTTTGGTAATTTATGTCAATACCGAATAAGGGAACAAATGAAGGTTTCCATACAGAAGCTGTGTCCAAAAGGCCTCAGGTGGGACTCATCTTGGTAAGGACAATATTCTGCATAAATTCCAACTCGGTCACCCGAACTCATGGAAGCTTTATGTAGGAAGAGACCAACCAAATTATCATTTAGTGAAACATGCAAAAGAGAGTACAATCCATTTATCAGAATCCAAAAAGAACTCTGGGTCAGTGCGATGCCCAAAACCAAATTCCAGAAAGGCTGAGTTATTGTCACCCGGAGAGACAACCAACCTAACAAATTCTATAAATACTAAGTGGACTTGGTCTTCCTCTCTCCTTGAAATGTGGAGAAATATCCTGCCTAATGTCACTGAAGTTGTGTATCGAGCGTCAGAATCTCCACAATATTCTCCCATTTTGTCTAGCTACCAAGAAGATGACTGAGCTGTTGTTTAGCAGATTTGGATAATCTCAATCCTTCCAATGTCAAAAGGTAATCGAAGGAGCTAAATGTCAACTCCAAATAATTATAATAATGCAGCAGCACCTCATTGATAGTTTTTAATCCCATTCATGAAATAAACATTATAATCTAAAATTCTTTTATTAAACGTACACAAAGATGCCTATACATAAACAAATAGACGAGAGAGTGAGACGCGCTTACGGTGTAGGGAACCAATAAAGAGGAGGGCCATGAATGGATTCGTCATAGTTATGGTAGACGGAGTAGTAGATAAGCTGGTGCACGCCATGTGGATGCCATGGTTTCAGCAATTTCCGAGCTACGACCTCCCGCCACAGCTCCTTTGGGTCGAATCCAGCATCACCATCATTAATTGCATCTTTGAGCTGTCTTTCAAAATCTATGGCCTCCTCAATCTCTACGCCGGCTTTCACCAAATCATCCACTCCCACTTCACTTATGGTCTTTCCCATTCTCATTTCTCTCTCTCGCTTTCGCTTCGATTTGCATAAACAGAGAAGTGTACACTTAGCAAGGCCAATTATTGCTCAACGTGGTGAGTTCTTGGTTGAGGCACGTTGCGGATGAATTCTCAACGTCATGATAGGAAGCTGGCAAGAGCTGGGTGTGTTTGAAGGATATTACCGAGGAAATCAATAGATTTTAAACAGTTACATGATGGAAAATTCAAGGTTAAAATGCCATATGATAAAAAATATTATTTTATCGAATAATGAGCGGTTGAAGATTAATTTTGAAATAATGTATTTTAAAAGATTGTGCGTGGCTAAATTTGAACGCTCAGAGGACACATTCTGGGGCCATGTGGTGTATTTTTATCAAAATCAAAATCAAAGTGAAAGAATTAATTTTAATAACGTGTTTTATAATATTAGTAACTTTTTAAACACAATTTTTTTTTTTTTATTTTATCAAAATCTACTCAAATCTGCGTTTAATTTCTATCGAATAAGGGTTAAATACAAAATTGTGATGATAGAGAAGACGAGAGAGATAAGGAGAAAAAAGACTTGAGAAAAGTGATGAAATCACTTCAAAAGTACACACCCATTCTTTTTCTCCATCAGGTTATAACAGATGGAGATAAAAAGGTGTTTTGGAAGTGATAAAACACACTTCTTATTACAATTACAAAGATTGCAAAACGACACCATTTTCATTAGCCTCTAAATATCAGTTGCAGCCGTTATTTCCTTCTTCCTTCCTTCTTCTGATGCTCTGCTTCTTTTGGCTCCACTTCCATGGATTCTCATGTCCCTCGCAACATCCCTCCCCCTTGGACCAATCTTGATCCCAAAGTTCATATGCAACTTCCCCAGTTCTCTGAATAACCTGATAAGGCCTGTAATACTTTGCTACCAATTTCTTATTCACCCTTTTACATGGGAGGACATGGAAGTTTAAAGTTAGGGGCAAAGGAATTTAGAGAAATTTTATAATCGAAAATTTACGTCCATAAAAAATCATATCTTATGTGATTTTGCGTCGGAAAATTTACATGGGATATGACTTTTTCAGATATAAAATTTCGAAAAAAAATTCTGTCATATTTCATATAAAATTTTCTAATAAAATGATGAAAATTATATCGAGAAATTTGTATTACAAAAATAATAAATGTTAATGAAATAATTGAATTTTTTTAAAGAAAATACGAGTTAAACGTCTTTATTTAAAACTCATGTTTAACGCATTTTTAACTATTTTCGATGTATGTTTGGATTATTTGATATGCCTATAATATAGTTATCGAAATAAGTTTTAAGATGACATAGCAATTTGTAGATTTGATTAGCGTACGATCGTCGAATAATTTTTAAAACTATCATATTATCGAAAATTTTGAAATACTAATTTTAAACGGCTTATTTTGACAAGTTGTATAATTTGCTATGATTGATCGTTTCGTACACCATTAACGACATAGAAAACTAGATCGTGAATACTTCGAAA